TTTTAAAAATCACCGCAGCTCAAGAAAACACACACAATGCTCGCTTGACACAGCAGCAAAAAATGAATGTTTTCAGCAGACCGAGCCCAGGATAAAACCTCGCTCTCAGCCCAGGGTGTGTCCTGCCCCTTCTGACCGCAGCGGAGACAAACGTGTGTCCCCGCGGCAGCCCCCACCCAAACTACGTTGCATTGCCGAGGGCGCGCACGCCTCCCCTCAGCGCACGTCAGCTCACATCAGTTCTGATGTGAGCCTGCAGCCTGAGCGCGGCACAGAGGCTTTTGACTTGGCTGACGTCCTTAAAAGTCATGACGCATCACAAAGACGCATGCCCGCTCCCAGAGCGTTACGCAGAGTGGCAGCGAGCGTGCTCCCTTAACAGATGGATGCACTGTCTTATCAGCAAAGGTTACACGCTGCAGTTCGCAGCTCAACCCCCTCCATTCAGAGGGATTATAGAGACGGTTCTGTCTTCCCCAGAACAGATCTCGTCCCCCCATGCAGAAGTTTAGGAACTACTGGTGAAAAATGTAATTTCCAGGGTTCCCGACGGAGAGGAAAACACAGGGTTTTGCTCACATTACTTCCTGGTTCCGAAATGGACCGGAGGGATGAGACCCATCTTGGATTTATCCGTTTTCAACATTCCAATCATTCCAAAATGCAGAAAGTTCCTGCACTTCTCCTTTCAAGGGACCCAGTATCAGCACAACAGGCTGCCGTTCGGTTATTCTCTCGCAACACGTATGTTCTCGAAATGCATGGAGACGGCTCTGCAGCCGCTACACAGAGCAGGGATGCGAATCATGTTTTACCTGGATGAGCTGCTGCTGCTGCTGACTCAATCCAGACAGGAAGCAGCGGTGCAAACCCAAGCACTGGCAGCACACCTGTTAAACCTGGGCTCCGCCATAAACTGGGAGAAGGGCTCGGTTCTTCCGGCCCAGATGATTGTTTATCTGGGAGTAGAGCTAAACTCAGTCACTATGAGGGCTCGTTTATCACAGACAAAAACCGAAGCTCCAAAAGACCAGCTCCGCCACGTAAAATCCGGCAGAGTATTGACAGCTGTTTACATCATTAAACTTTTAGGAACAATGTCGTCAGCTCACACGGTGGTTCCGTTGGGCTTACTCCACAAAAGACACTGCCAGAGATGGTTTGCTCATCTGCACATAGATCCGGTAAGGCAGGAGAGGCGGATGATCTCTGTGCCCCACTCCATGGGAACTAACCTGAGACATTGGGAAAATCCCCTCACTCTGTCGGAGGGAATCCCTATCAGCAGACCTATGTCACATGTCTCAGTTTTCACAGATGCGTCCCTGTTAGGTTGAGGAGGAACGTGCCCGTCTCGGGCTGTGGGGGCGCTGTGGCCATATCACACAGCTGCTCATATAAACGTTTTGGAATGCCGCATGGTTTTGAATGTGATTCAACTTTGTGCTCCGGTGTTGCAGAATCAACATGCTCTGATTCACACAGTCAACAAAGTGTCTGCAGCGTACATAAACTGGCAGGGGGGCATGCGCTCAGCTTAAATGTTACACATGGCGAGACAGCTTCTGTGTTGGGCACACAAAAACCTGCTCTCCATCAGAGCAGTGTACATCCTTGGCGTCCTGAACAGAGGAGCGGACATAATGTCCAGTGGTGGTCCGCGCCACGGGGACTGGAGCCTCCATCCCGAGCTGATGTCTCAGACGTGGGAGAAATTTGTCAGAGTGGCAGTGGACCTATTTGCCTCACGGGAGAACGCCCAGTGCCAACTATGGTTCTCACTGAGCCCACAGGACGAACCACCATTAGGAGTGGACGCATTTGCCTACAGCCCGTGGCCCAAAATGCTTTTTTACGCTTTTCCCCCAGTCACTCTAATATCACAGTTTCTGAACCGAGTTCGTGAGGAAGAACTGTCAGCCATTCTGATAGCCCCCGAGCAAGTGAGCGCCCCGTGGGTTCCAATCCTGCGACATCTGTTATAGGGTCGCCCGTGGAAACTGCTGTGGAGGGAGGACGCCTCCAGGAGGGAGGACGCCTCCAGGCGGGAGGAGCGATCAGGAGTTACCCAGAAATAGACTAGCACATTTGGGTCTGGCCGCTGAACGGATCCGCTTAGAGAGGATGGGTCTCTCTCAGGATGCAGTGCGCATGATCCAGGATTCACGTGCTGCCTCCACCACAGGGCTGTACACATCAAAGTGGACAACCTTTCAGCGCTGGTGTTCTGAGAAAGGTGTAGAGGCCACCTCATGTCCACTAGGTGGCGTGCTGTTCTTTCTGCAGCAACCGATGGACAGAAATCTGGCGTTCAGCACAATTAAAACGTATGCTGCAGCCATCTCTTCCTGTCACGAAGGCTTCGGTGACAGAACAGTTTTTAATCACCCGCTAATGAAGTGTTTTCTAAAATGTGTACAAAGGCACAGACCTGTGTCACGCCCATTAACTCCTCAGTGGGACTTAACGATGGTTCTGCAGGCCCTGATCAAAGCTCCTTTTGAGCCGTTAGGTCAGGTTTCGATTAAATTATTGTCATTTAAAACAGCCCTGCTGTTGGCTTTGACATCTGCAAAGAGAGTGAGTGATTTATCTGCTCTCTCTGTTGCTCCGTCATGCCTCAGGATTCAGGCTGATGGCAGTTCAGCTGATCTGAGACCTAACCCAGCGTTTATGCTTAAAAACATCACAAGCTCATTTAAATTGAGAATAACAACATTGGAGGGTTTTTTCCCTCCTCCCCACAAATCAGAAGAAGAAGCATCTTTTCATCTTCTCTGCCCTGTGCGTGAGTTGGCATGTTACGTAGCACGCACGGCCACACTGCGTCAGACTCAACATTTGTTTGTGCATTATAGAGACGCCTCTGCAGGTCGCCCGTTATCCACCCAGCGCCTGTCACACTGGCTGTGTGAGGCCATTTCTGAAGCTTACAGAGCATCAGGTTTAGAGCCCCCTGACAACCTCAGGGCGCACTCGACCAAAGGAATCGCATCCTCGACAGCCTTGCATAATGTTATGACAATGCAGGATATTTGCACTGCGGCCGCGTGGTCATCGCCCTACTCGTTTATTTGCTTTTATCTGCGTGATGTGTCAGCTCGCTCCATGACACATTCTGTCCTCGGTGCCTTAACAGAATGAATCTCATTGTTTTTATGGAACTTCGTTTAAACTCACATCTGACTGCATGCAATTACAGTGTGAGATATTTGTTATCAGTCACAAGTTTGTGACTGTTGGTTTTTGTTCTAATGTCACTAATCAGTTCATGAATACTGTTACCAATCAGTTCATTTGATTACTAATCAGTTCATTTATTTTGAATCTGTTCACTGTTTTTTCAGCCTCTCCCCTTTTTCCTGTCAAGAACTTTTCTCTCCAGGCGCCCTCCATGTGCGCAATTACGCAGCGCGTATTTATGCACATGGAGGGCTGAGGGATAAAATGTTTTTTGGTGCAAGCGGGCGCTTCATATGATGTTTGAATGGACCCAGTGAGGCAAAGAATACATCCTGCTTCGCCCTTAACCCACAAGCGACAGCCTTAAAGGACGAAGCCTATACGAAATAGAACGTTGGTTACGTACTGTAACCCCAGATTCTATGAGTATAGGCGTAGCCCTTTATGCTCTGGGCCTCACTGGCTCCTAAATGGCTGAAGAAAAAAGCTATTTGGGAGCCGATTACCCGCTCTCAACATAATTTATACGGACCGGGTGGGGCCCACACCACAGGTGGGCGTGGACTAAATTTTTCAGTGCAATGCTTTGCATGACGGGATAAAACCCACAAGCGACAGCCTTAAAGGGCTACGCCTATACTCATAGAATCTGGGGTTACAGTACGTAACTAACGTTCCAGGCTCTTGGGAACAATGTCTCCATCGGAGGTTGAATCGCAAGTGGTTCCTGTAGTCCGCCTACTTTCGTGCTGTTTGCTCAAACTCTCTAATATTAGTTTGAGGCAATCCTGGCCAAAGTGGTTCAAAATATCCTGATGCATGCTCAATAATCCAGGTATAAAAATCAAAAAAAGTTGTCAGGTCCTCTGGACGGCTTCAAAAAACAAAAAAAAATGTAGAAACGTTTCGTCTTTCATCCGAAAGACTTCTGTCTGAGGAGCTTCATTCAGCTCAGCACCTTCTCATATGGATCAACCAGTTTGTTGTTGACAGCCAAAACTAGCTGTTCACGTGATAAAGGAGGACCATCAGCCTAACAATAGATCGTTAGCACCCTGATGGCTGCTTGCTATTCACAGGGTGTCTGAGTGATATTGGCAATAACAGCATTGTATAAAAGGGGGACAGTTAAACATAGAGGTCTCCGCCCTTGTTTAATGAGGGACGGTTTCTTTTCACACAGATGGCCTCCTTTACTCTTACTCAGTCGAATTTTAGTAATGTACTTGTATTAGTAGAGATTTAAATAATACTTGTGTTTGTGACAAGTTGTGTTGAAATAGTGACGAGGTCCACTGCTTTTCTGTCAGCCGGGCTATGACTCGGATCGAAATGATGATGAGTGGCAAGGCCGGAGTTTCTCTCTTAAAAAGATGGGGGAAGTGCTTGCTAGTAGGTGGAGGTGCTTTTACAGAAATGATCTATCATAGCAACCTTAGTTTATTATGTCTTAACAGTTGTCAATAGAAATGGGCAATAAAGAAATTAGGATATATAAAAAAAACTTGCTGGTTTTTACAAAGCCTGTATTTTGTCATAGTTTGCAGATTAGTTCCATATGAATCTAAGCATCGAAACAATTTAATTTATATATATTTATCATGTGGTCAACTTGCCGACTAAAACTATGCTTGAAATAAATCACAAACTCCGGCTTTTTGGCCACCGGCTCGTTCAGCCGGGGCACAAATGGTGTGCAGCCTTCCTGGTTACACCCAGTTCCGCCTCTTTTTAATTCAGTGTACAATCTAACCAATCGCAAATGTTTGTAGGCGGGCTTAGAGAAGATTGACAGCGAGATCTTGCAATAAAAAGGCTTCTTTTTTCAATCATATATATAAGGGCTTTCTGCCCCACTTTCTTTCTTTGAAATAATGTCGGCTGAATATGATAACAGGTCAGTGAATAAACGACGGAACTGTGCGTTCTTTTTTATTATATTCGTGTACGTTTTATTATATTCGTGTATGTTGGGTAGTAAGATTCCGAAAAACCCATTTTCGGCAGACAGACTTGAGGACAACGTACCTTTTAAAAAAAAAAAACGTGTTTAGGCCTTAAAACCTTTAAAATCTATTGTTCGGTTAGTTTCACTCGTTTGATCGAATTTAAAGTCGAGTCGTGATTATATCGTGTAATTGTCAGTTTTAGGCGGCAGGACTGCGGTGTTCTTGGGCCGTAATTAAAGAAAATGGTTGCCGGTAGTTTGCGGTGCACGTGAGTCTGGCGCACTGTGGTTTTACATTCTTATTTTATCGACGAAATATTAAAAGTCCATAGCCTACTAAGGCTGTAAGGTGCCAGATTCAATATATTTTACCCCTACAGTGAGTCATATTGGAGATTTGAGTTGATCTCTCCTTGTTCCAGCGGGTCAGGGTTTGGCACATGGTTTTACCGGTTGTTAGGACCGTAGTGGTTTCATCGTCCTTATGTCGCCTTTTCGCCATTTCCGTTCGTCACTGTTGTCGAAAATGGCTGCCTATTAAACCCGGGGCCTGTTAGTGCGTCCAAACCGTCGGTAAAAGATTTTGCTAACCTGCTTTTGTCTTGAGAAAAGCCCGGTACCGACCGGTGAGGCCTAGTCGGTTCCACGAGAATCCGGACTAGGCCGCGGCTAATGCTAACGGAGCTAATCTTTTTTCCACTAAATTTAATAATGCGTCAGTTTTTTTTTTGGGTTTTCAAATCCGATCAGTTCACGTTGTCAAACGTAAGTTTTCTGGACCGTCTTCATCGACGTGTCTCGTTGTTTTATCGTGTTAATTTTTATATTTATTTAATTTACGAGCCCTGGTCGGAAAACGACCATTTTGAGTGCAGCCTCCAGTTAAAAATGGCGGACTCGGTTATCGTGAGCCATCAGAGTCTGAAGGCTTTTAATGAAGTTACACGTTTCCTTTGGGCTCCCCGCCAGTCGTCTCGCTGGGCAGGGGGTCTGGATGTGGAGCCGGGAGGTTTATTTGTGCCAGTGGCTCGTCGTGAATTTGCTGATGTGGCATGAAATGTAGTTTTCAGCGCACTGACCGATTCTGTCATTTTCAGAGACAATGGCGGCCCAGAGGGCATGGAGCCAGACGGTATCATCGAGGTAAGACTCGCATCTGCACCTTTTACTTCACAACTTCAGGGAAATGGCAAGGACCACCTGGCTCTTAATGACAAATACTTTATTCTTTGTATTTGGAGACGAGCATTTTATGAATATTCCAGACTTTATTCTGCTTTTAACTTGTTCTGATCCGAATGCCGTCCCTTTAACGTGTGATGAAACTAATTTCATCACTTCGGATAAAACGATAACCCGTTGCTGCGTCTCTTCCCTTCAGAGCAACTGGAACCAGATTGTGGACAGCTTTGATGAGATGAACCTGCGTGAACATCTCCTCAGGGGAATCTATGCCTATGGTTTTGAGAAGCCATCTGCTATCCAGCAAAGGGCTATTATCCCTTGTATCAAGGGTAAGTAAGACTCCATTCAGCATAAAAATACATTTAAACTAAACTAAAAGGCCTGCTTATTAAAATTAACTGAGGCTAGCTGATCAAACATCAACGTCCTCGTCTAAATGTCTCGAGCAACATTGGAGGACCATCAGTAGTTGTAGTTCCTCCGCCACATTGTTCTGATTCTGAATGTAGTTTACTGATACTGTGCTGTAAATTATTCTCAGCTCTGGATTAAAGCAGGTTTTACATTATCCCTGAGGGTGGTAGCACTAAAGTCGTGGCTAAATCCAGAGACCACAACTGAAGGGAAATTGTAATTTTATTTTGTGGCTGCCTCTAAATGTTGAGTTTATTTGTATTAATTGTTACTCGTGGTCAATTTGTGAAACTTCCATCTCCCTCCGTCTCTTCAGGTTATGATGTAATAGCTCAGGCCCAGTCTGGCACTGGGAAAACGGCCACTTTTGCCATTTCCATTCTCCAGCAGATTGATATTGAGCTGAAAGCCACTCAGGCTCTGGTTCTGGCTCCCACCAGGGAGCTGGCTCAGCAGGTAAGCTCCCACTCACACGGCCATTATGGTACATTTTTGTTTTGAGGAAAGATTGAGGTTTTGATTATAATACTCTAAATGTAGACAGGAAACTGAAACAACAATCTTATTTGCTCGGGAATGTTGCCTGATCAGGTACCGTTGCCGTCAGTCTCCCACTCTGGTACCAGTTGATGCTTTTAAACCACTATTGCTGGTTTAATTGTATAAATATCCGTAATAAGCCAATTGCTCCGTGAAAGAAAGCTGGACCTTTTATTTTTTCTGCATGGTCAATGAACTGGGGTTTGAGTATTTCTTAAATAATAAAAACTAATTTTGTGCTTCCAGATCCAGAAGGTGGTGCTGGCTCTGGGTGATTACATGGGGGCCAGTTGTTATGCTTGTATTGGGGGAACCAGCATCCGCAGCGAGGTCCAGAAGCTTCAGGCAGAAGCCCCTCACATTGTGGTTGGAACCCCCGGTCGGGTCTTTGACATGTTGACCCGCAAAAACATCTGTAAGTTAAAAGTTTTATATCCAGGGTGAAGAAGGGTGTCGAGTCTCGGTTAACTTCCTGAATTTAGCGTTTCCTCCTTGAATTGACGTAGTTCCTGACTGATAGTTATTTTCAGGGCTCTTACTGCTGTAATGATGATATCCATGCGTGTCAGCTGACTTTAGGACACCGTGCTGTGGTGGTGCTCAGGCCAGTGTTCTGCTGACTGAGCTTTCACAACAACATGGACCTAAAGGCGTGATCATACATTCATGGTTCTGAGCACAGCACTCTACCTGGAACAACTTTTTAAACCCGTTCAAAGTTTGACTTGTGTGAGAGAAGTTGAGGTGCCCCCCCCCCCCCCCCCTCAAAAAACAAAACAAAAAACAAAGATTGAGACATTAGCTATTACTGGTCTCCAGAGGTTTGAGCCAAGTAGAACTGTCTCAAAGATGATAAATGTTTGAAGCATCTTTTCGTTCCTGTGCGTTGACGTGATCTTCAGCTGCATTTGGACCTGATGGGTGGGGTTTGGTTTCACTGACATCATGTCAGCGAGGAAGTAAATGACTGTTTTCCTCCCCCCAGCTCCCAAGTACATCAAAATGTTTGTGTTGGATGAGGCTGATGAAATGTTGAGTCGAGGATTCAAGGACCAGATCTATGAGATCTTCCAGAAACTATCGACCAGCATACAGGTAAGAGTTCAGTGGAGACGTGTTCTTCTCACTCTGTGTGAAGGTTTGTTTGGTTTTTCTTAAAGATGCATTGGACTTGTGTTGCACAGTTTGAACCTCGTCGATGAATTAAATATTGCAGTAATAGAGTTGAATCTTGGTTTGGTCGTGTGTCTGCAGGTTGTCCTGCTGTCGGCCACGATGCCAGCTGACGTGTTGGAGGTCACCAAGAAATTCATGCGAGACCCGATTCGCATCCTCGTCAAGAAGGAGGAGCTGACGCTTGAGGGCATCCGTCAGTTTTACATTAATGTGGAGAAAGAGGTCAATCCATGATTCATTAGTTTTAACAGGCTTCCAGTTGAAATTTGTGTTCTGGGACTGGTTCTAAGCTGCTGCTGTCTGCAGGAGTGGAAACTGGACACGTTATGTGATCTGTACGAAACCCTGACGATCACACAAGCCGTCATCTTCATCAACACGAGAAGGAAAGTGGACTGGCTCACTGAGAAGATGCACGCTAGAGACTTCACCGTTTCTGCTCTGGTGGGTACCGCTTGTTGTTCCCAGTCTGACCCATTCTGAAACATCTGAAGACTGGAACCGCTGACTAGTCAGTCAGGTGTGACTTGGCGTAACTGGTGAAGGTGCAGCATCCAACCACCAAGAGAAAATAAAACTTGTAGACCAGGAAACCCAGTTCTGTTTGGTGCCATGTAGCTCACACTGCTTCTTTTCTCCCCCCCAGCACGGTGACATGGACCAGAAAGAGCGGGATTTGATCATGAGGGAGTTCCGTTCCGGCTCCAGTCGAGTCCTGATCACCACTGATCTGCTGGTATGTTACAGTTACAGCCCTGGTGTGTAGTTAGTGTGTTGTTGACCTGTCAGGATGTTGGTCACACGTGTCCAGCTCCTTCGTGTGGAAAATGTTTCCTTCCTGGTGAAAGGCCAACATGGACATAAAGCTGTGACTGAAGGTGGTCATGTTGTAACCACACATCCCCATCAGTTCAGGGTTCAACAAGCTGCTTCTCACTACAGACGTGGGCCTGAGGTGGACGAGCTCCGCTGCTCCATGATCTTACCATGTTCAGAGTCTTGTGCTTGGCCTCAGAGGAACGTTGCCTGCTCTACAGGAGCAGCAGCTGACTCGAGGTGGAGCCACAGATTTCTAAAAACCTGTTTCTGACATTTAAGAAACGTAGTCAGTGCATCTAAAGCCAGATGTTTGTGCCACCTCTGATCCTGTGAGTGAACATCTGGCTGTGGAACAGCTGTCCATCACGTTTGTAGTTTCACATAGAAAACGTGGATCAGTTCTGTAATCTAGCACTGCATCACATTTAGACCAGTATTTTAAATGTGTTTGTATTAACAGTTTCTAAGTTTATTCAACTTTTTTTACACATACTCGATGGAAACATTTGGTTCAGATTAGATGATTAAGAACTGTATTTATTTATTAGCAGTAGGTTTAGAGCTGCCACTGCAGAAGGCGTCTCTGAGTTCTGTGATCAGGGTGGTTCTGTCCACTTGATGCTTCTGAAGAGTTCTGTGCTCCAAGGTTCCCTCTCCTCCCCTCACTGTGTCGGTGAAGGACTGAATGTTCCTTGGTACATTACATCCTGCTCTCCACTGTAGCTTGGCTCAAGTCCATGACTCACAACTAAATAGCAGGTTACACGCCTCACACATGTGACATGCGACGTGTTTAAATGTGACTATTTGTTAAAGTCTTGTGTTCTCCCCTCAGGCCAGAGGTATTGATGTTCAGCAGGTCTCCCTTGTCATCAACTACGACCTGCCGACTAACAGAGAAAACTACATCCACAGGTGATCTCACCTTAACTTGTTACTGTTTAAATAAAAATGTTAAATGTAAATTATTTAGCTGTTACGATTTACAAGACGTGCTCTGAAGCTTTAGCACTTTTCACTTGAAGGGACTGGAACCAATGTTTGGTTTTGATGCGTCTGCTTCAGTGTAAGGTTCAAAATCCATTATGGCCTCCGTGTGTGAAGAGCTTGTTCAATCAGTTGCTGGCTTTAAGGCTCTTTTGAACACGTGTTTGTGCTGAAGCATCGTGTTGTTAACTCTTTGTTCTCGCAGAATTGGACGAGGTGGTCGTTTCGGCAGGAAGGGGGTGGCCATCAACATGGTGACTGAAGACGACAAACGGACCCTCAGAGACATTGAGACTTTCTACAACACCACCGTGGAAGAGATGCCCATGAACGTGGCAGACCTCATATAGATCCTACATGCTCTGTCCTCATTTTGCTTATTTTAGAAGTAAAATCTTTTTAACTTCATGTTCTGATCTTATGTTTAATCTCTATCTTACGCACACACAAATACACACATGAAATTGTTGCTTCTCTTGGAAGGAGGGCTTACTGAGCTGCTTCCTGTCAACCAGAACGGCCTTTGACCCCCTCTATGAAAGGCTCTTCTCTGATTGATGGAATCAGTATCTTACTGGGCTGTGGATATCGGCGAGCGTTCCCAAGGGTGCTTCCAAAATGTCTGGACGTTCAGAGGTTCTCGTGTTCCCAGTGCGAGTCACAAAGACTTGCAGTCTTTATATTTTGAGCATTTAGTTGCTGCCGTCTCTAATCTGACTCTTCTCAGCTCGACTGTCCAGGTCTTTAAAAAAAAAAAAAAAGTGATTACTAAACTTGTTCAGAAGTAATCCAGTAGATTCACTTGTAAAAGTCCATGTAGGCACTGGAGTGTCTGTTGAGCTGTGCACCTGCCGTGGTCCTTGGCTCCGCGTGGCGCTCTGATCCAGGTGTAGCTGCAGCCCGGTGAGATACTGGCAGCAGCACACGGTGATGGACGGACTGGTTAGTTGTAGTGGAACTGTTCTGCAGGTGGGAAGTGTTGGCCTGACGAGTATTCACACACTTCAGTAAAGTTTTCCCACTCATGATCATGGAACAAAGTTCTGAGCGCATGATTGACCCAGGAGCTGAGGTTTCCCGTCGTAAGGCCTAAAACGCTTCAGCTCCACTCTGAAGGGATTTTCAGCCTCATGCCTTTTTGTTTTTCCTTTTATTTTATAAAGGTGGTGGCAAGTGACTAAAAAAGACCAAACAAAATGAAAATGTCATTATTAGCGTATCGATGTGAAAAAGCCTGAACTGAAGGCTGTGAACCCTTCTGCGCTCTCGAAGCCTCTAACCAGATGTTGACCTCTGAGACAGTTCATCAAGTTTTCTACATTGGTTTCTGTAAAGTATTTATTTCAATGCTCTTTAAAAACAAATAAAGGTTTTTCATTTTTAACTGTGTAAGCTCGCCTCTCCATTCAATACTTCTGTTTTTTATCCTGTTGTTCTTGGAACGTGAATGTAGTCATTTGTGTAAAATAAAAAAAATTATGAAATGACTACAAAGAGAAGTGAACACGTTTACTGTTGGTGAATAATAAAATGGTGCACATCGACACACTAGTATGATTTTCTTTTGAGGTATTTGTCAAATTATCTGGTTACCATTATAATAATTCAAGAAGTCAGCCAGAAGGGTCTAATCCCAGTACAGTACCACGGTCCTGAAATCCTGGGGCTGAGGGTTTGAGTCCATGAAGGGTGTCAAGCGTAGAACTGTTTCCAAATCTCATGAAAGTTCAACGGAAGGAGCTGCCGGAAGAACTGTTCAATCATCAAGTGATTAGTTGAAATGACCTTTTTACATTTTACGTAACAAATGAGCAAACTGAAATGTAAACGCTCCGTTATCTGGTTCCACAGATGTTCAACCGGATTTGGTTCTGATCCAGTCCTGGATGGTTTTAGTTGTGTTGGGTCATTGTCCAGTGAACTGACTTGAGACTGAGCAGCACGTGGCTCCAGGATGTCTTGATGGTGTCAGACACAAAGTGGGCCCAGAACTGAACCAAACCTCATCCAGGACCTGGTAAATCCAAAATAAAAACTGGACTTTGTAATCCTAAGGTTGCAGGTTCAAACCTGTGTCAGGATGGGCATTTGGCATAAAACCATGGCCAGATGTTCGCTGACGAAGCAACTGGAAAAACTCTTAAAAAAGTTAAATCTGGTCCTCTGGACATTCAAAAAAACAAAACAAAAAAATGTAGAAACGTTTCGTCTCTCATCCGAGAGACTTCCTCAGTCTGAGGTGCTGTTTTCAGCTCAGTCTCTTAAATAGCACCTTCTCAGGGTGGATCAACCAGTTTTGCTGCTGACAACCAAAACCAGCTGATCACATGCTCAAGAAGGACCATCAGCCTAACAATGGATCATTAGCACATTGATGGCTGTTTACTATTCACAGAGGGCTGAGTGATACTAGCAATCACAGCATTGTAAGAGGGGGACAGTTGAACCCAGAGGCCTCCACCCCTGTTTAATGATGGACAGTTTCTTTTCACAAAGATGGCCTCCTTTACTCCTCTCAAACCATCGTTCCTCTCTGTCCAGGATGTGAACATCTTCATCCCTGAAAGAGTGACCGCTGGCCTGGAGAAGAGTGTAGACAGAGTCCTGGACTAATGATGTTGATCTTCTGTGCTGGGCCATCCTTTTGGCCACTGCAGAGCGTGTGTTTCCACTTCTCACCAGTTTGTTTCAGTGGTGGTGGAGAAACTGAAGCTGTCTGAGCCAACATCTAGAGTTCACATGGCTGCTGCACATTAGGCTGATCATAACTATGAACTGTCCAGTTGTGTCAAAGCTTGTCTTGTGATGGACTGGAGACCTGTCCACGTGTCCTCAGTCTCTCACAGTAAGGCCTGGGGACACCTGCTGTCCACAACCCGGAATAAAATGGACGGACCTTCAGTGTTCTGGTGTTTGACCGTGGGTTTGGCGCCACCTGCTGGTCAACCTCCAACAAGGAGCTGCAGCCTCGTGGTCAAGGACTTCTACTGAAACATGGCGTTCCCACAAATAAATCCAGATGTCTTCAAATCGAAATGGGTGCCGTTTTACATATGGATAAGTTTTAAATAGTATTTCAACATCTTGATAGTTATGAGGTTTAAATGTGTAATGACGTTTTATTTTTTTTTATCTCTAACTGAATGGAACTGAAAATTAAAATGTCCTTTTTTTTAAGGTGTATATTTTTTAGAAATATAAAAAAATTGCCTTTCTAAAAATCAGTGTTTACATTACTTGCTGGCAGCCATCTTGACATTTCAAGTAACTAAAATACATTTTTAGGAGCAGCGTTTTATGTTTGCATCCAGGTTTGAAATATTTTGCTGACATTGGTTACTTACCTGATCTACAATGGAATGGGTCAGATCAGGTATACTCATGTGACAGAATGACCCAGTCCAAGTCCAGACCTGAACATCTTTGGCAAGACCTGAAAGCTGCTGTTTACAGCTGTCCAGTCTGACAGAGCTGCAGGTGATTTACAAAAAAGAATGGGCTAAAATTTAGTCTCAAACTGGTGGAGACCAACCCAAAAGAACCTGCACCTGGAACAGCAGCAAAAGGAGGTTCTACAAAGTGTACGCTCCAGGAGGCTGAATACAAATCCACAACTTTTATTTTTTAGCTGCAACTAATTCTAACAAACTATTACGCAAAAGCAACGACCTTGTTTTAACCTTGACCTTGGAGCTGGGGCAAAGTGTATGTGAAACTTTAGTGACGATGCATGTGGGTATGAAGGTGAAGATCTCAATCCAGGACATAGTTAAAAAAAAAAAGTCAAGTCAAGTCAGCGAGGAAATCTAGAAAACATTCCACTGAACAGAACACGGAGAACAACAGATGAAAAACACCATCATCCCTTTTGTTGCTGGAGTATCAGAAAAAACTCAGAAGTATTTTCAACAAACACACCATCCCAGTACATTTCAAACCCAGCAGGACTCTCAGACAGAGGCTGGTCCACCCCAAGGACAAAACACCAAACACAGAGTGGTGTGGTGTCTTCAGTCCAGTGCAGCGAGGAATCTCCAGATCTCTATACTGGAGAAACCAAACAGCTTCTTACAGACGCATGGCTCAACACAGGAGAACCAGCTCCTCAGGACAAGACTCAGCTGTTCACCTCCACTTCAAGGAGAAGGGACACTCTTTTGAGGACCTAAATGTTCACATTTAGGACTGAGAAGACAGATGGTTTGAGAGCGGGGTGAAGGAAACTGTTTAAACAGAGGAGGTCAGATTTCTTCTGTCATTTTCACTCCAATCAAGAACTTCATTCATGTGACCAGCGGCCCATCGAGGAGTCCAAGATTCTAACGAACCCCTATTGTGAGCAGTGACAGGGCAATCTGCATGTGCATCTAGTTACAGAACACCTCAGCTTTATCACCAAAGTTAAGTCAGGTCCTCTGGACGGTTTAATGTTTCATCCAGAAGACTTCATCAGTCTGAGGAGCTGCAACAAACTCAGTCCTATAAATAGCACCTTCACATAGTGAGTCAACCAGTTTGATGGTGCTCAGGTGGTTTCGGAGTCCGCCCTCTCCCACACCAACTCGTTTGAGGCCGTTCTGGCCAAAGTGGTTCAAAACATCAAAAGTTCCTGCTCAGTAATCCAGGTAGAAACGATCATAGAGAAAATTATCTTCTACCTGGTTGAGCATGAAATTTGATACTTCAGCTTTATAACAAATCCCACACGCTCCATTCTTTGAAGTGAGAAAGATCCTCGGCTGAGAAGCAAATCTTCTTCAGCTGAAGTCCAGTTGGTGTCTTTAACCTCTTTTAGATACATGTATGAAGTTCCATCATCTTGAGTGGATCGAAGGTTCTGTGCAGGACAAGATAGTTTACAGCCGGAGACTTTGTTTGTGCTGATGTTCGACGTAATGTTTTTATGTTACGAGTGCTTAGTGTATATTTAGTTGATGTTTTTCTTAGTTCATATCTTAGATGTTATTTTTCTTTTACATTTTATTATTGGATGTAACTGGGACCCTGTGTACATCATTTCGCTCCACATGTACCACGAGATGCAAATGACAAAGAATCTGACCGACTTACGGCCCACCTTCGACAGGCGTCTACAAACCGTCTGGAAGTTTTGCGTTAGCGTGGCGTCGAGCAGCAGATTGAAAACGCTCACAAGACTCTGCGAACACCTGGACTGTGTGGGGCAGGTCCATGAATGACCCGGGTGACTCTCTTGATCTGGTTCGTGGAGGAACCTCTGGACTCGTAACTGCGACTTCTTGAAGACAATGGTTTTTGTTTACACCCGTCATTTTCTTCCTTGTTCATTTTATTTCTAATATTTCTTTTGATTAAACAAATCAAATAAAACCAGAAAACTCCGGACAAGAGACGCTCGTCTCTTCATTGTAGAGTCTTATGATTCGTGTACATACAGGTCCTTCTCAAAAAATTAGCATATTGTGATAAAGGTCATTATTTTCCATAATGTAATGATAAAAATGAAACTTTCATATATTTCAGATTCATTGCACACCAACTGAAATATTTCAGGTCTTTAATTGTTTTAATACTGATGATTATGGCATACAGCTCATGAAAACCCAAAATGCCTGTCCCAAAAAATTTGCATATTTCATCCCACCAATGAAAGACAAGAGTTTTTAATACAAAAAACACCAACCTTCAAATAATCATGTTCAGTTATGCACTCAATACTTGGTCGGGAATCCTTTTGCATGAATGACTGCTTCAATGCGGCGTGGCATGGAGGCAATCAGCCTGTGGCACTGCTGAGGTGTTATGGAGGCCCAGGATGCTTCGATAGCGGCCTTAAGCTCATCCAGAGTGTTGGGTCTTGCGTCTCTCAACTTTCTCTTCACAATATCCCACAGGTTCTCTATGGGGTTCAGGTCAGGAGAGTTGGCAGGCCAATTGAGCACAGTAATACCATGGTCAGTAAACCATTTACCAGTGGTTTTGGCACTGTGAGCAGGTGCCAGGTCGTGCTGAAAAATGAAATCTTCATCTCCATAAAGCTTTTCAGCAGATGGAAGCATGAAGTGCTCCAAAATCTCCTGATAGCTAGCTGCATTGACCCTGCCCTTGATAAAACACAGTGGACCAACACCAGCAGACTGTGGGTGCTTCACACTGGACTTCTGGCATTTTGGCATTTCCTTCTCCCCAGTCTTCCTCCAGACTCTGGCACCTTGATTTCCGAATGACATGCAAAATTTGCTTTCATCCGAAAAAAGTACTTTGGACCACTGAGCAACAGTCCAGTGCTGCTTCTCTGTAGCCCAGGTCAGGCGCTTCTGCTGCTGTTTCTGGTTCAAAAGTGGCTTGACCTGGGGAATGCGGCACCTGTAGCCCATTTCCTGCACACGCCTGTGCACGGTGGCTCTGGATGTTTCTACTCCAGACTCAGTCCACTGCTTCCGCAGGTCCACCAAGGTCTGGAATCGGCCCTTCTCCACAATCCTCCTCAGGGTCCGGTCACCTCTTCTCGTTGTGCAGCGTTTTCTGCCACACTTTTCCCTTCCCACAGACTTCCCACTGAGGTGCCTTGATACAGCACTCTGGGAACAGCCTATTCGTTCTTTTCTGTGTCTTACCCTCTTGCTTGAGGGTGTCAGTGATGGCCTTCTGGACAACAGTCAGGTCGGCAGTCTTACCCATGATTGTGGTTTTGAGTAATGAACAAGGCTGGGAGTTTTTAAAAGCCTCAGGAATCTTTTGCAGGTGTTTAGAGTTACGTCGTTGATTCAGATGGTTAGGTTAATAGCTTGTTTAGAGAACCTTTTCATGATATGCTAATTTTTTGGGACAGGCATTTTGGGTTTTCATGAGCTGTATGCCATAATCATCAGTATTAAAACAATTAAAGACCTGAAATATTTCAGTTGGTGTGCAATGAATCTGAAATATATGAAAGTTTCATTTTTATCATTACATTATGGAAAATAATGACCTTTATCACAATATGCTAATTTTTTGAGAAGGACCTGTATACCACAAACTAGGAAATGCACACATTTTCCGCCACATTTTTATTTTAGCAACCGTAAAGCATCGTAGAAGATATAGAAAACAATTCTGTTGCATCAACTCAGGAAAATAAAAGATACAAAACAAAAACACATCTATCTACAAATCGTCTTTTTTTAATATATATAAAAAAGAATAAAGCATAGTAATTGGACTGTGGACGTCCTGTGCCTGTTGCTGCTGTGGTCCTTACCAAACTGGCTTAAAGAAATACTAAACAAAACATCTACACTTACTTCAAAATAAAGTTGTAGTCCTTTTAACACCGTTAGTTTCAAAGCAAGATGCATATCACCACATTTACCGACAGCAATAAAAAGACGTTAAAAGAAGTCATGTGACGTAACGGTACCCTTGGCTTTGGGTCGGTTCGAGTTGTTTGGGCCGCCAGGAGACGCAGAGTCAGGAACTCCCATGAAGCAGCTGCGTTACTGGAGAAGGCAGGAAGGTTCTGGCACTACAGCCAGGTGCACGAGTCCTTCAGGGAAGTTCAAAAGGTCTGCTCCAAAAGTCACAAGAAAACCGTTTCCTGGCAGCGAGTCCACTCAAAGATCCTTCAGCCCATCCAAACGCTGATGGGAAGTTAAAACTAAACTTTACACTGAACTCGTCACATTCAACACACCGTCCATAAAACTTACTGAAGCATTTTATTCTGGGTGGCAACATTGTTGATTAAAAACAAAAAACAGTGAGTGCATGGAACGAAGCGGTTCAAATCATTCTGCCGTCGACCCACACGCTACACAACACTTCTGATGTTGATGTTCAACGCAGAGGGAACACAGGTGTGTTAGGATCAGATCATTCCCACATTCCCTAAACTGACGCTAGTTGTCTTCTCTATGATTTGAACATTTCAAAATAGTTTTGGAAGGATGAACAGAGGGAAGGAAAGACTAATCAAAGGGAATCAAAGCATTGGATCCAAGTGGATTTTCTTAATGCTGAGAGGAAGTTGTACTCCCCTCCCCCCTCATTATTTTATCCGTGTAGTTAAAATGAGGGTGAAGTAGGGGTGCTGGGTCACAGGATGAGCTTGCAGTGGCACAGTTCTTTGTACATTTGCCTCCTGAGTCTGGGCATGTCCTGCTGCCCAAAGCTGAATGGCTGCCCTAATGCCAGGCACTTACAGTACTGTGGAAACAAGGAGAACAATGACAACATGTTAGCAGCTGTGGGCTTACACCACCACCTCCACACTTTCAGCTATTTTCATTTAGAAGACCTACAGCTTTTATTTACCAGACTATAAGCTGCTACTTATCTATCTATATATATATATCTATATCTATATATCTATATCTATATATCTATCTCTCTATCTATATCTATATACATACACACACACATACAGTGCCTTGTGAAAGTATTCGTCCCCCTTGAACTTTTCAACCTTTTGCCACATTTCAGGCTTCAAACATAAAGATATAAAATTTAAATTTTTTGTGAAGAATCAACAACAAGTGGGACACGATCGTGAAGTGGAATGAAATTTATTGGATGTGTCAAACTTTTTTAACAAATAAAAAACTGAAAAGTGGGGCATGTAATATTATTGGGCCCCCTTGCGTTAATACTTTGTAGCACCACCTTTTGCTGCAGTTCCAGCTACAAGTCTCTTGGGGTTTGTCTCTATCAGTTTTACACATGGAGACACTGAAATTGTTGCCCATTCTTCTTTGCAAAACAGCTCGAGCTCAGTGAGGTTGGATGGAGAGCGTTTGTGAACAGCAGTCTTCAGCTCTTTCCACAGGTTCTCGATTGGATTCAGGTCTGGACTTTGACTTGGCCATTCCAACACCTGGATATGTTTATTTGTGAACCATTCCATTGTTGATTTGGTTTTATGTTTAGGATCATTGTCTTGTTGGAAGATAAATCTCCGTCCCAGTCTCAGGTCTCTTGCAGACTCAAACAGGTTTTCTTCCAGAATGGTCCTGTATTTGGCCCCATCCATCTTCCCATCAATTCTGACCATCTTCCCTGTCCCTGCTGATGAAAAGCAGGCCCAAACCATGATGCTGCCACCACCATGTTTGACAGTGGGGATGGTGTGTTCAGGGTGATGAGCTGTGTTGCTTTTACGCCAAACATATAATTTTGCATTGTGGCCAGACAGTTTGATTTTGGTTTCATCTGACCAGAGCACCTTCTTCCACATGTTTGGTGTCTCCCATGTGCTTGTGTCAAACTTTAAACAACACTTTTTATGGATATCTTTGAGAAATGTCTTTCTTCTTGCCACTCTTCCATAAAGGCCAGATTTGTGCAGTGTACAACTGATTGTTGTCCTATGGACAGACTCTCCCACCTCAGCTGTAGATCTCTGCAGTTCATCCAGAGTGATCATGGGCCTCTTGGCTGCATCTCTGATCAGTCTTCTCCTTGTTCCAGATGAAAGTTTAGAGGGACGGCCGGGTCTTGGTAGATTTGCAGTGGCCTGATACTCCTTCCATTTCAATATGATTGCTTGCACAGTGCTCCTTGGGATGTTTAAAGCTTGGGAAATCGTTTTGTATCCAAATCCGGCTTTAAACTTCTCCACAACAGTATCTCGGACCTGCCTGGTTTGTTCCTTGGTCTTCATGATGCTCTCTGCGCTTTGAACAGAACCCTGAGACTATGTCAGAGCAGGTGCATTTATACAGAGACTTGATTACACACAGGTGGATTCTATTTATCATCATCAGTCATTTGGGACAACATTGGATCATTCATGGATCCTCACTGAACTTCTGGAGTGAGTTTGCTGCTCTGAAAGTAAAGGGGCCCAATAATATTGCACGCCCCACTTTTCAGTTTTTTATTTGTTAAAAAAGTTTGACACATCCAATAAATTTCATTGCAATTCAGATTGTGTCCCACTTGTTGTTGATTCTTCACAAAAAATTAAAATTTTATATTTTTATGTTTGAAGCCTGAAATGTGGCAAAAGGTTGAAAAGTTCAAGGGGGAAAAATACTTTCACAAGGCACTGTGTTTAATAAAACGTGAGCTTAACAAAGACCTCTTCCTACATCTTCTCAACTGAGAGCAGGACACACAGTACTAAAGTCAAAAAGCGCTCTTAAAGTGACAGTACAGATTTTAGTTTTTAACATAATACATTATAGAAAACTCTTAAAATATAACCAAAATGAGGTTTCTTCAATGTTAATCAGGATTTGGTGAAATTTCAAACATTATATTTAAAAATAAAAGCACATTTTCTAAAGTTGGTACACAGACAATAATTTGATATTTTGTTGTGGATCTTCACTGACTGTGGTCTGTTTGTTAAGAAGTCTAGGACCCAGTTTCAAATGGAGGGGCTTAGTCCTAGTGTGAATAGTTTGTCCATCAGGGTTTGGGGGATCATGGTGTTTAAGGCAGATGTGAAGTCCACAAAGAGCATGTGGACGTAGGAGTCCTTCTGCTCCAGGTGGTTGTGAAGAGGAAGATGTGATACACCAGACCCAACACTTCAGAAGAGCTGAAGGTCACTATCAGAACAACCTGGGCTCATAACACCTGAGCAGTTCCACAGACTGATGACTCCATGCCACACTGCATTACTGCAGTAATCCAGACAAAAGGAGCAACAACTAAGTACTGATGCTGTACATGCTCATACTTTTCAGTTGGCCAACATTTCTAAAAATTCTTTTTTATTGGTCTTAAGTAATATTCTCATTTTCCGAGATTCTGAATTTGGGGTTTCATCATCATCATTCATCATCAACATTAAAACAAATAAACATTAAAATATATCAGTCTGTTTGTAATGAATGAATATAATATAAAAGTTTCACTTTTTTAAATGGAATTACTGAAATAAATCAACTTTTTCATGATATTCTAATTTTATGACCAGCACATGCAAATAAAGGTTAAAAAAATCTGACCAATGAAATTTCAGAACAGGTCACAGTGGACCAACGAAACCGTTTCATTAGTCCACTGAGGGGAAGAGAGAACGGTTCTCTCCTCCCCTCCCCGTTGTGCCCCGAGGGAGGGGGGTGCCATGCACAGGAGGAAGATGAAGATAGTGATCAATGACTTCCAGGTAGACTACTGTATTTTTAATTATATTTTAAACCAGCCATGTTACCGGCACTGTTAAAAAAAGTGGAAAGGAACCCTGATTATATAAAGTATGAGGCCTTAATGCAACCCTGCTTGAACATTTAATCTAACACCAACATAAACTCCAACAATTTTCAGTCA